GGAATGCCAGGTTATTAGAACAAAGTGTTCTGGCACTGAGGCAGGATTTGAATAGAGGCCCAATGTTCGTCTGCTTCCTTAATACATACATATAAGTATATGTACATAGGCCTGTATCCCTGTTGCTATGTATTAACATATTTACGTGCGTGCGTGCGATCTTGATACCGCTATACATGTCCTCATCCTCTTAGTTCTTTCCTGTTTCCTTTTACTTTCCTCCTGCCCCACTGTCAGATCCACCTTCACTGGGCTCTCAGTGAATCTGTTCGGCTACATTGCCCTTGACTGAATCCCACCAGGCATTTTCTACCCTCCTCACCATCGATTTTAGATATCTTGTTGTTCTCTTTCCCTGGGTCTGTTGGCTCCCTGCGCCATGTCCCCCAGCTCCCCTCTCCCGGAACTACGGGGCCCATTGTTTTCTCCTGAGGATTGTTTAATCTTGTCTATCTTGTATAGACAGACATGGAAAAAGAAGAAGAAGAAATAAAAGGGGCCTATAAATCGTTCCAAGTCTGTCTGCTGACCCTTATGCATGTTTTCCAAGAGTCTGATGAGGCGCCAAGCCCCGCCCCCTGTGTCTGGTCTCTCTTCGGGGTTCCTCAGGGACTTCACTGCTGTGTGTCCCTTGCTGCACAGTGCGCTCCCTTTGGGTTTTGTCCTGGTGTGTGTGTGGGGTGTGGGGTGGTTCAGACCAGGCACAATTCCCGCACTGTGTCCCCTGCAGCACTGTGGGTCAGTGAGGGAGTGTCCTCTCTGTGCTTTGGCTGCTCCGAGCAGGAGTGTTGTACTGGGGCTTGGTGGGCCAGGATGCACGTCTCTCTCTCTCTCTCTCCCCCTTTCTCTCCCCCATGGGGCCACCGGTGCCTCAGTTGCCCCAGGCGTCTGCTCTTTGCTCGGATCAGGTCTTCTCCGGACTTGTTTTCAGTCTGGTTGACCTGAGGGTGGGGTGGGCACGGAGCTAGAATCCACTCCCTCAGGGACCCTCAGATGCCAAGACCTCTTGTGAGGGGTGGTTCCAGCCCCCGCTGGGGACGGTTCCCACCTCCAGCATCCCCTGCCATCATCCCACACAGTCTGGGTCTGAACGCACACCCCTAACTTCAAGACTCAAGGCAAGCAGGTGAATTAGCTCGGGCCCTGGAAAGGGACCGGGAAGATGAGGCTGGGTCCCAGGCACATCGCAGGAGCCTCTCTTTGGCAGCTCTGCCGTCAGCAGGGCCATCCCATGCCGCAGTGGGAAG